CACGTATTTTGTGCGTATTACGCCATGGGCATTTCCCCCCCCCAAAAGCCAAAATCTGTAAAATTTTTAATCTGCATTCTGCTTTCTCTCTCTCTCTTTCTCTTTCTTTCCTATAGGGGTTATTTGTGTATTGTTCAGTCCGGTTTTGCTCGTACATCCGTTCGTACATCCGCCCGCACATCCGTTCGTATATCCGTCCGTACATCAATTGTCACCCGTTCGTACTCCGTTCGTAATCGTTCGACACCCGTTGTACATCCGTTCGTACATCCGTTCGGTTTTCCCCCCGACAAAAAAAAGCCCGGATTTTGGGGTGTCACGTAAACTGATTGGTAGGATTCACCACCAATGAGAGACCCGGGGGTCGAAACCCCCGGTCGGTTAAAAAAATTAGGAGTTTTTCCCATAAGACACCTTTTGTCCATTTCATCACTAGTAAAATAGGTACCGGGTTTTTTGTCGATGGTGTGGGTCGATCTGGGACAAAATGACCTAATTTTGGGGGAAATGCTCAGCTTTAACAAGCGGTTTCTATATAATGTATATCATTGATGTCAACTCCCCTGATACCTTTTACATGTATTGTAAAAAATAAAGATTTTATTATTATTATTATTATTATTATTATTTTATTATTATTATTTTTTATTTTATTTTTTTTATTTTTTGATACGGACCGCCGGAGCCCCAAACCGCGGGGTTTGTGGGGGGGGGGTGGAAAAGGGAGCCTGGGGTTTGCCATGACGGATAAGGTCCTGGCTTTCTAAATAGGGGGGAAAAAAGGAGCTCGAACGATGTTCGCAAGGATCACTCGCTGGCATAATCCCGAAGCTGCGATCACCAAAACCCCCCAAACTTCCTTCTGTACGACCCCTTTTACTTCCGCCAGAGCAACGTGAAGTAGTGCCTTCCCGTGCCTACAGTGCATCACAGTGCACTATTTCCGTCATCACATTTTATTGTAAAAATATAGTTATTCTCTATAAATTGTTTTTTTGTTAATTTTTTTGGTGTTTGGAATGTTTAATTTTATTTACTTTTTTTCTTATGGGAAATATTAAAAAAAATACATTTTATAGTGAATAATACAACCACACACCACAACACCACACACACCAAGATGCAGCCCGTTTGGAATCCCCCTAGTCAAACACGTCAGAAATTAGAGAAAGTGCAAGGTTTTTCAAAAAGGCTAGTCCCCGAGCTCGGGGGGATTGTCCTATGAAAAAAGGGTTTATGTCAGCATAGTTGGATCTCCCTTTTCATGTGTTGTATGCATAGATTTGATGGCATTTTGTACCTCCATGTGTTTATATAGAAGATCCTTGGCCTTGATGTATGCGTCTGGGGGTGCAGCGAGCGAGTGAGAGAGCTCCCCGGCCTCAGACGACGCATAGGCTATAGAAGGGGGACATGGCAGGTGGGCTCCATCTCCCATTACCACAGTCTGACAATAGTGTTACCATCCAACAAATGAGTTTACCTTATCCATCAATCTCCTACCGAACCCCCACACGACAATTTTACATTCACTAGTGACTGTGGAATTACTAACTGGTATACTCTTCTGCTAGGAGTACCCAACTCGGCTGTTCGATACAGTAATTCTTGGTTCATGACAAAGTCACTGATGGGTGTGGTGGCTTCACATTCAGAATAAGATCTTCCTGGAGCAGGAATCGAATCACACCAGAACACATGGGATCTGTTCGTTGAGCATTCTTTACATCTTCAGCACTAAATGGAGGGTCTGCAGTTACTATACTAACATGTCGCGATAAGGCATCTGCGACTACATTTGACTTGCCAGGTAAATGCTCAAAGGTGGGATTGAACTCTTGGATAGTCAGGCCCATCTAGCTAACCTTCCAGTAGGTTGTTTGTTCTGGAATAAGGGTATCAGTGGAGCATGATCTGTCAAGATTTGAACAAGAGTACTGATAAATAATATCTCGGAAGTGCTTTAAAGACCATTACTATTGCTAAAGCTTCTTGCTCAGTTACTGTATAATTAGTTCAGCCTTTGTAAGGACTCGGCTAGCAAATACAACTGCGTTGTACTTGCCATCGGTCTTTGAGCTATTTACGGCACCTATGCCAATTGAACTAGCATCAGTTGTCAGATAGAAAGGCTTAGAAAAAATCTGGAATTTCAAAATTGGAGCGATGTTAGCTTTTCTTTTGAGTTTGGAATGCTCTTTCTTGACAGAAGGTCCAAACAAAAGGAGCTCTTTTTTAAAGCAACTCAGTTAGGGAGCAGCTAGGGAAGAAAATTGGCAATGAAAGATCTTAAAAACCCTGCTAAGCCCACAAAGGATCTTACGGC